TTACTTTTACCCTTTTGTACAAAACTCCACTGTCTAAAAATGATATAAAACAGCAAAAATATGGTTTTAGAATTGTACATTCTGTATAAAATGAGCCTGATCATAATTGATGAAATGACACCACAATTAAATCAATGATTATGTTATTGTATATTATAAATGTATTATTATATGTGAATAAATATATTTTTACAAGAAAAAAAAATCGAGTTCGAGCCTCGCCAGAACCTGGAAATTTTTTATCGGCTTCTCACATTCGCCAAGAAACAGAGTACCTCTATTTCTTGCATTCCCCAATTTGCACGATTTCTACATCAATGCGTGATTCTCTTTAGTTCCAGAGCCTACGAAGATGTCCGCATCGGTGGTCTAGTGGTAGAATACTCGCCTGCCACGCGGGTGACCCGGGTTCGATTCCCGGTCGATGCACAGATATCTTTTTCTCTCTTTTTCCATGCTCGCGTACGGTGCGAACTCAAAATTCGCACCACTCAATGGAAAGTAGGTTTCTGGCTGTGAAAAATGGACTGGTACTCAGCGCTCCGATATGGTCTAGCGGTTAGGATTCCTGGCGGATTAGTAATCACCCGATGAGTGAAGACGTGTTTTACTGAGCTCCGGGGTGCAACCAAGCGAATCATTGATTTTCTTTGTTTGAGAGGGAAATTATGGATTTTCAAGTGTAATTTGTCGGATATTATAAGGATTTTAAGTGGGGGCTTCGGCCCTGGTGACTGAGGATATACCCCTTCGCCTTCCCTGTGTGGAATACCTAACCTTAAAGATGGAAATAGATGCTTATGATACTATGAAAACTAAAGTGAGGACTTATAACCCGGAAAATACTATTATTTATAGAGTGAATAATTTGAAAGAATTTAACGTTGATAAACTTATAGATGCAGTCGAAGAGAGGATTGGACTTGGAAATTGCTATGGATGTGTTCCTAGATATCCGGATTGTATCGAAGTTACCGTAGACTCAGCTGAAAATGCAACGATTATTTGTGATGGAGTAGAAGTAGACAAGAAATTCATATGTGGAGAGATTCTGTACTCGAAGTATGTAGTGGTATCCATTCTAAACCTACCAACGTATATAGAAGAACAGGTTATAATTGACAAGTTGGAAAATTTTGTTGAAGTATGTGGTCCTATTAGACGCAAATTCTACCGAAACAACAAGAGCTGCACAGACGGGACAAGGTATGTGAAATGTAGATTCCCTCCTACCATCAAGTCTTTACCATGGGCGATGAATTTCGAAACGGTGGAAGGTTCCCGCAGTTTTAGAGTCATGCACAACAATCAGAAGAAGGTTTGTTCAATTTGTCTCCAAGATGACCACCGATTCGCACAATGCCCAGAAGTTGAATGCCGTAAATGTCGAAATTATGGCCACATAGCTTCAGACTGCACAGCAATAGGTGCGCAGATTGCAGACGTTATGCATGNC